CGGGAAACAGCTGGCCGTTCTGAGGGCGGCGTGGCTTTCACAGGAAATAAACCAGGGAGTGAGTGTGAGTCACCATGTGAGCGTGCGCACAGGGGCGTCTCAGACTGCGTGGGGTGTGCGTGTGCGAGGCGGGTGGATGTGTGTGTGTGTGTGTGTGACTGTCAGCATGAGACTGAGTGTAAAAGCGGGTGAGGGTGTACCTGTGTGTGTATCCGTGTGTGAATGTATACAGTGTGTGTCCATGAGGCATGTTGGTGAGTGAGGGTGAGTTCGTGTGTGGGTGAGTGTTGCTGTGAGTGTATCAATGTGTGAATGTATGTGTGTCTGTGAGGTGAGTGTGTTGGTGAGTGTGGCCGTGTCGGTACGTGTGAGTGTCAGTGTGTGTGTGTATCTGTGTGTGAAGGTGCCTGGGTGTGTCTGTACGTGTGTGTGTATCAGTGAGTGTAAGTTGGTGTGTGTGCACCTGTGTGTGTGTGTGCATCTGTGTGTGTATCAGTGAGTGTGAGTTGGTGTGTGTGCACCTGTGTGTGAGTTGGTGTCCACCTGTGTGTCAGTACATGTGTGTATCAGTGAGTGTGTGGGTGTGGTGAGTGTTTGTATGACTGTGTGTGTTGCCGTGTATCCCTGTGTGAGTGTGGCCAGGTGTGTTTCCCCTCCTCGCGCCACACTGCCCCCCGCGGGGCTGCCCCTTGTCTCCCCGATGCCTGGGCAGGTGCGGCTCCGGTCCAGGACGGGCCGAGGAAGGAGCTGCACTCAGGAGCGCCTGCGGCCAAGAGGGGCTGATCCCGACTACTGAGGCCCAGTGTCTCCATCTGCTGCTGCCATTAGGAGCTGCTCGTTATGCTAATGGCTCCCCACCCAGCTCCGCCGTGTGCAGTGCCCCCACAGCCCGCCCAGCTCGGCGCAGGGGTGCCCCACACCGCACACGGGAATTCAGGTCAGCGTGCAACTCCCCATCACACCCGGGTGGCTCCTGTGGCCACAGGTGACCATGCAGATGAATGGCGGAGGCCTCTGGTTCTCCCGGGAGCTGCTCATTCGGACCCAAGTCCAGCCTCAGAGGGACAAAATGCTGCTTCAAGCAGTGGGTGCCTCGGCCCAGCGGGCACCACTGGCAACCGTCAGGCACCCCCAGGCCTCGCAGGCCTCAGCAGTCCTCCCCAGCACCACCAGCGACACTGGGTACCAGCCAGCCTCACCAGGTCCCTCCAGGCCCCACCAGGCCCCATCGGCTGACGAAGTGCTTGGAGAAATATCGCCAGGAAATTGAACAGCAGCCCCTGGCCTGGGCCTGCCTGCCCCGCATAACTTCACACAGGGGGTGTTTCTGTCGCTTTTCGCCAATCATGAGCTGTAATTGGTTACCATGGAAACCCCTCATTTCCAGGCCACCGGCTGTTACGCAGAAAAGCCAACCCATTGCCCGGGCGGGGGAGCTTGGTGTGTCTCCTCCGAGTCTAGTTCCCTCCTCCCTAAAGGGGGGTTCGCTCACCTGGGAAGTGAGGAGGCCGGACGAGCAGGGCGGGGTGCCTCCAGGGGGGTCTTCAGGGTGATACCTTGTTCTGGAATTACTAGCGGGATGGCTGCACCACCTATGAACACGCTAAACCACCGACCGGCACACGCTTAGAAGGCGAAGTTTAGGGCGTGTTGGTGATGGCTCAGGAAGCGGTTGTGCAGGAGTTGTGGAGAGACCGGCCCAGGGCACAGGGAAGGCGCCCAGGCCGGAGCCGGAGCCGGGCCTCGGAGCTGCAGGCACCGGCAGGAGCAGACCCCGAGCCTCAGATCTGTCC